ATATTTATATTTAATCCAGCTAGCTTTCATGTTATGTTTCACATGCTATTCAAATTTCTAACACAATACAAGATATTCTCATGACAATTAATTAACAATAAACGAAGAAACTATGTAATCTACTAATAGTTATATGTTGGAAAATATGAGGGATCTATATATATATATATATATTGCTCGTAGATATGATGAGAATTAGAAAGCATGGAGTATCAGTACTCTCTTAACTAAATATTCATTGGCATAATTGGTTATAAATTAATTTTGTGATGTAGTTTAAAAATTCAAGCCTTATGTTAATTAAAATACAAGATTAAATTAAACCAGAGAATGGGATGAATGATTAAAGTTAGCAGTGATGGAGGTTTTTAAACTGATGGTAGCGGTATATAAATCGCAAAAGTTGAAGCGTCTATATATATATATATATATATATATGTTTGGACTGGACTGGTGCATTCATTTTGGAGATAATTTTTTTATTGATACACTCTATAAAAGATTGATTGATGAGGAATAACAAAACAATTCAAATTCCCTTCCTCAGTTATTAGAATCAACCTATTTTTAAGGTTTAATATTCCCCTTTTTTTTAATTTGTTAGGTGTTCAGTTAGTGTTACACCAAAAATAAATCATATATAATGTTTCCCTTGAGCCAGAAATTAATTAATTAAAAGTTAGCAACAAGAGTAAGTCTGAAATTGTGGTAATTACCTAATTCTTTGAGCATTCAAATACTCCTGGCTACTGAAGGAACCATATACAGAAACTGCAACTCTAGCATCCCATCCTACTTCATCTTTATTCCTAATATATTCAAAACAAATTGTAAGTATATCATTTATCATTTGAAGTACTGCATTCAGATTCAAAATAAATTCCTATAAGTATATCATTTAGTAGAAGAGTACCAATATAGTAAAGAAAGAAAGAAAGAAAGAAAGAAAGAAAATTAATTAACTTACATTTTTTCTAGTTCAGGACCAATTGAAGTACTGCATTCAGATCCAATTGTCACATAATGTGCCAACCGCATTACCTCTAACTCTGGGATTGTAACTTGTATGGTCTTTAAAATATAAATCACAACAATGTTAACATGATTAAAAAGAATATATATATATATATATATATATATATATGAGATGCTTCTTTAGTACAACTCAAAAAAATTTACTTGTATTTTCTCTCTCTCTATATGTATATATATTTGAAGTAATTAGTTTTTCATGGATATGATTTTCAGATATAATTTGATAATGTACAATTACATAAATTTTTAACTTTAGTTGAAAGACTAATAAGTGTCACAAATATATAAACAAGTAACATGATATTGAAGTGTTTAATTTGAGACTTGAGGCTATTGAAGTGTTTAATTTGAGACTTGAGGCTAGTTTAGTGAGAAAAGAGAATGTGCGTTAAATGATCAATGTTGATTACAGAGGCTCCTATATATTTTTATGAAATATATATGACACTTTTTAGACTAATACAATACCATTAGATTTTTAATCATTTCAACATGTTATATTTATGTCAATGCATTTGTGTGTGTACAAATTGTTTGATTAATTAGTCATCTAGCCACTTGTTTCCCAACAAATTAATAGTCTATTTCAACATGTTACATGATTGTTTTTACCTCATATAAAAGCACTTATATTATTATAATCCTATTTGACAATCAATCATTGAAGGATTCACTTATAGTTATTCAAGTATGAATAATCAAAATGGTGTAGACATAGTATTAGAATAAACTCAAGTTTCATTGAGAATGTAAAGGATTCATTCATTTCAGTTGTAGTTGAGGGCAATACTCTATATTAAACTTCGTCACTTGACTTTGCTATTGTAGTCTTTCTTAAAAGCTCAAAAAATACTATTGTTTGCACCAAGATAAATATTGTTGTACTAATACCTCCCTAGTTTATATCTGAGTACCTAAGGGTAACTGTGAAATAATGTTGCATATTTCATTTGATATATCTAAGTATTCCGTTGACACCTTGAAGATGTTCACTATCTGCACTCTACATAAATTGACTTATCAGATTTACTTCATGTTATCACCTACATATATACCATATAAGTATAATTGTGCCTCTCTTGAAAAGAAGGAAGGGTTTTCTCTACTATACATGCTTGAATACAACATGAAGTACGAGTACGAGGCTCCACATACATGTTTAAGATCATATAATATCTTTTTTAAATAGACAAACGTGATTGTGATATCTAGGATCAAATTGTTGACTCATAATATACAACTTCCTGTTGATTTCCATGTAAAATTGCATTTCTAACATCATTTATGTATATTCGGAATTCATAAACTTCAAATTCTAGATCTTCCTCTTCTGATAGTTTTGAGGTAAGATAATTAAGTAAGTAGTGTTATACTACGTCTTTTTTAGGCTTGAAACATGTTTAAACATATAACCATTTTCAATTACTGAAGAACTAACTTGCTAGATGATGTTCTCTACAAGAAAAATGAAATATTAGGAAATGATTAAATTACCTCCCAACCATAGTTGTCGCGCAATTTTTCTAAAGCTCGAGAACAACAAACTCTGATTTCCTCATTGCAGTCATTAAACCACTAAACAGAAGAAACAAATACAAAAAAAAAAGTTTGAATAATGTGCATGTATATGACTAATAGAAAAGGAAAAACTAGCAAGGTTAATAAAATGACACAAACCTCCCCATATTTGGCTAATCTGATATTAGGCATAGGCCTTGGTGACTTGAGCAGAGGAAAATATAATTTTGGCTGCGATAAAGAAATCGATAATAAGTACATGTTATAAATACATAATTTTAAGGAGAGAGAGAATTTTTACGAGAGCGGTTTGAGAATGATGTGATGAATTGGGGCCACTGATAGCTGCATAACTGGAAATTAAGTCAACTGATTAAATTTGTACATTCTAAATTAATTTTTTAACTTTAAAGCTAGCTAGTAAATAATACTAACACTAGAAGTGCATCTTCAACTGTACCAGCAAGTATCCCTACCATTCCAACCGTCCAATTCAGAGGAAGAACACTGACCAACAAGAGATCGTCGAGGTAAGAATCAATATATATTGGGAATTGACGTCATTTCTTGGAATTATGTTGCAATATCTTGATCATGTTCTGGACTAGTGAACAAAATAGTTACATACCCCGAGTGTGATACACGTCCAAAGCTTGGCTTTAAACCAACAACTCCACAAAGAGCAGCAGGCATTCTTACAGAACCTAAACTTATTCAGAACAAAAGAAAATCAGTGAATTTATATTAAGATTTAAGCACTTACTTGGTTTGAATAGGTCTTTATTATAAACAACCTAAATAAAATTTTAATATCATTGGGAAATGGTTATTGATTAATATGTCACCACCAACCACCTAGGTCATCATCATTAATGTCAACCACTATTAAAGTTGCCAACAACTTTTATCATCACAATCACCACGGTAAACTACTATCATTGTCAGACACTATATACTAGTCCACTCGCTACCACATGCATCACCTCCATTATTATAGTTATAATATCCAATGCAACCACAACTGTTGCATCACCCTCCACCATCATAATCAATCACTACAACCACTACAGGCAATCGATCCCTATTACTAATCCACCTCCACCATCATAATCAATCACTATCACCACTACAGGCAGTCCCTATTACCAATTACCTCCACCATAGCAACTAGCACCACAACCAACTACAGCCAACACATCATCAACAACCACACATTCTTTTTCATCACAATCACCACTAGCAACCATCATCGCTACCAACCACTATTGTTATCATATCGGTGTTTTGAATATTTCAATAAGCTCGTATGTGTTTTAGGAGTAGTTTACATATTTGGTTTGCACACTACGGTTCAACGGAGTCTCAGGCACTCAAATGAAAATTTTGGAGAAACCAAATTCTTATGGTGTTTGGTGTAGGATTTTTCTAGAAGTACATGACCAAAATTCAAGCTAGAAGATGACATAGGACAGAAGAATATTGAGGAAGCCCACACCAGAATAAATAGCTATATTTTAGTTATTCATAGTTCCCTAGTTTGTTTAAAATTATGTTAGATACTGTTAAGTATTAGTTTCTCAATTTCAGCAAACAAAAACTTAGTTTTAGCAGATTTTTAGCATTACTTTATAGCATCTTAGTTAAGCTGCGATGTATTTATTCAGTCTTATATTATCAATCGAAGACGTACTTTTTTCATTTTTTTCTTCAATCATCTCTTATTCTCCTTTGTTTAACACTAACAATGGCATCAAAGCCTTTTATATCTTAAGGGACTTGTGAGAATTTGTGAGTTAAATTGATTGAGTAAAACCCAAACATAATCAAGCCATTTCATAAAATTAGCTTGCAGAATGTATTTTTTTCATCAATTGCTCCTCGAGCCAGCTTTTGATGGAGAAAACTATCATGTTTAGGTTGTTAGGATGGAAAGTAATCTCTTGTAACACCTAGGAAATTGGAAATTGATAGAAAAGGAAATTCAGTGGTCTACGAGACAGACAACGGCTCGTAGGACTTCCTTCTGGTAATTGCCGGGGAGGTTACCATAGAACTGAAGTTGAGTTTTTAGAATTTCAAATTTCTGAAATTTGACCTACGAATAATCATGAACAAGACGAGTCGTAGATCAGTTTCATATAGGTATAGGGATCGTAGAAGGTTTGATGGTCCATAGAATAGTATTGTAGGAAGTTGGCCAATTTTAGGCCTTCTAACTCGACCTACAGTTGGCAGTAGGATCCGTACAACCTGTATGTCTAAACTGTAGGGTCCTCCGACATATGACAGAGATGCAATGTGGGCATTTTTTTAGCCTTGTAGATTTGGAGAAGGCGTTTCATATCCCCAAGTGGCAAGCTGCAATGATTGAGAAGAGTGAGACCTGACATGTTGAGAATTTACATACTGAATAATCTTAGTTATTGTTGAGTTGAGCACACTGAAATCTAGGATTAAGGAGTGTTGAGTCCATCCCATAAATTTTTGGTCAACTTTTGTCATTCAATTGTTATAAATAATTGGTAAAAAAGAATAGTGAGAAGACTTGAAAATAAAGATTTAGTAGTTGACAATTGGTAAGATTTGCAAACTTTTTTTGATTTTGCTACATTAATCTATGTCATTAGTGACATATGTATGATTTTCTCTTTCTATAAATAGAGAATTCTTGCTCATTTGTAAAACATACCAAGTTAGAGAGAGAAAAACTATTTTGAGAGCAAAGTGAGGTATTTCATGAACTATACAAAAAATTAGTCTTGAAGAAAAATAGATTGTGAGCGATATTTTAGTAAGGTGAAAACCAAAAAAGTATTATTCCTTTTCAGTGTGTAATACTCACTTTGAGTATTGTATTTGTGACTACAAAGTGTAAAATTCCTTAATATAGTGATATTAGTTGCTCCTCTTGGCCCGTGATTTTTTTCTTATTTAGAAGGGTTTGCACGTAAAATTCTTGGTGTCGTTATTTTCCCATTTTATTTCTATTACTTTTACCATATATATTTTTGTGTTTATCTGTGTTGTCCCAACAAACTGGTATCAGAGCCAAGGTTTTTTCTGATTATGCTCTGTGGTTGCAGCACAGTCTAAACTTCCACATCAGAAAAATTTACTTTGATTTTTTATAAGAATATTTTTGGGGAAAAACGATATAATTTAACACAAGTAGAATGGTTACTTTGAATGGTGTTAATTATGTCATTTGGAAGGGAAAAATGGAAGATCTGTTTTATGTTAAGAATTTTTACAAATCAGTATTTATCACTGTAAAGCCTGATAATAAAACATATGAAGAGTGAAATATGTTGCACAGATAGGTTTCTGAACACATTAGGCAATGGATCGACGATAATGTGTTGAACCATATTTCTGGGGAAACACATGCTCGAATCTTATGGGAGAATCTTGAAAGTTTGTATGCTAGGACGAGTGAAAACAACAAAATGTTCATAAAAAGCAGATGTTGAGTTTACAGTATCATGATGATTTTCAATGACAGATCATCTGAATAATTTTCAGGGAATCATGAACCAATTATCTGTTATGGGCATCAAATTTGATGAAGAAATCCAAGGCTTGATCTTACTTAGTTCCCTACCAGACTCTTGGAAAACATTTAGAACTTCATTGTCAAATTCTGCGCCTGATGTGTGATCTCTATGGATTCCGCCAAGAGTAGTGTCTTGAACGAAGAGATGAGAAGAAAAACTCAAGGTTCTTTTTTGTCGGATGTCCTGATAACAGACCCAGGGGAGGAACAAAACTCATGGTTCTCATAATAGAGAACAAAATATGAGCAAATCCAGGGGAAGACTAAAGGATATTTAGTGCTATCACTGTGGCATAAAAGGGCACACAAAGAAGTTCAGCAGGAAGTTGAAGAGGGAAAACAAAAACAAAGAGGAAACTAAAGAAGATGACAATGAAAATTTCCTAGCCACCATTACCACCGAAGATATTTTTACTGTCTTGATGCGGATATGATTATGATAAATATTGTTTGTGATGAGTCAAGCTGGGTTGTGGACACTGGTGCCACATCTCATGTGACATCAAGGAAAGATTTTTTTCTTTCTATACTTTAGGTGATTTTGGGACCTTGAGTATGGGTAATGAGACTGTTTCTAGGGTGGTTGGTATTGGTACAATTTGTTTGGAAACTAGTGTTGGAACTAAATGTGAAACGTGCTCCTGATGTTCTTCTGCACCTAATTACTCTTGGTGTTTTTGATGATGAAGGATATGTTAGTACCAATGGTGATGGAAAATGAAAGCTCATTCAGGGTTCCTTCGTTGTGGCTCGTGGTAACAAACGTCGTGGTCTATACTAGACTGCAACCTCTGCTTTTGTTGATATGGCGGATGCGGTTGAGAGCGATAACTCTTCAACGTTATGGCATAGAGACTTACCCACATCATCGAGAAAGGACTTAATGTTCTAGATAAGAATTTTTTTTGTCAAATTTCAAAAGTGCTAAATTAGAAAAGTGTGAGCACTGTTTGGTTGGTAAACAAAATAGAGTTTTCTTTAAGTCCTAACCTTCTTCGAGAAAGACAAAGTTGTTTGAGTTGGTGCTCTCTGATTTATGTGGACCAATAAAGACAAAGACATTGGGTGGTGCACTCTACTTTATCACTTTCATTGATGATTGATCGAGAAAACTTTGGGTCTATGTCTTCAAGACTAAAGACCAAGTGTTAGATGTCTTCAAGCAGTTTTAGGTTTCACTCGAAAGAGAAACTGGAAAGAAACTGAAATGTATTCGTACTGGTAATGGTGGTGAATATTATGAATCACTTGAAGAATACTGCAACCATCAAGGTATTAGACACCAGAAGACTCCTCCCAAGACTCCTCAACTTAATGGTTAGGATGAGAGAATCAAAAGGACCTTGATGGAAAGAGTTAGATGTTTGCTTTCTGAAGCAAAGTTGTGGAACTCATATTGGGTTGAGGCTTTATTAACCGCTGCACATGTTATTAATATTTCTCCTGTTGTTTCTTTGCAAAGTGATGTACCAAATAGTGTTTGGTATGCAAAGGATGTTTCCTATGACCATTTGAGAGTATTTGGTTGAAAAGATTTTGTAAATGTGTCAAAAGATGAGAGGTCATTGTTAGAACCAATCAAGAGTGTGCATCTTCGCTGGATATGGCCTTGATGAATTTGGTTATAGGTTATATGATCCAATTGAAAAGAAACTTATGAGTTGTCGTGATATTATTTTTATGGAAAATAAAACAATTGAAAATATTGACAAAGCGGAGAAGGTAGAATCTTCAAGTTTTAATGGTATAGTTCATCATGTTGAAGTTCCTCACACAAGTGTGCATGATGTTGTTGGGCTTGATGATCATGGTCCATAATCATGTATTGAATCAAATATGTTGATGTTGATAATAACAATGATATTGTTATTGATGATCCTTTTGCTCATGAAGTTATAGACGAATCAAATATTTCGCTTAGGAGATCCACAAGATAGCGGTTTCCTTCCTCCTATTATTCACCCAATGAGTGTGTGTTACTCATTAACGGGGGAGAAACATAATGTTATGAGGATATAATGATAGATGAGCACAAGGATCAACGGATTGAAGCCATGCAAGATGAGATGAAGTCTCTGCATGAGAACCACACTTATGAGTTGGTAAAATTGCCCAAGGGCGTAAGAGCTTTGAAAAACAAGTTAGTGTTCAAAGTTAAATTTGAAGAACACAACTTGAAGCCAGGTACAAAGTTAGATTGGTTGTTAAGGGATTTAGTGAAAGAAAGGGTATTGACTTTGATGAAATATTTTCTCCTATTGTGAAAATGTCCTCGATTCGCATAGTTGTAGGTTTGGTTGCTAGTCTTGATTTAGAGATTGAGCAGATGAATGTGAAGATGGTTTTCCATCATGGTGATCTAGAAGAAAAGATTTATATGGAACAACTTGAGGGCTTCATAGTAGATGGCAAAGAAAATTTTGTGTGCAAACTCAGAGAGAGTCTATATGGCCTAAAATAAGCTTCTAGACAGTGGTACAAGAAGTTTGAATATTTTATGAGGGAGCAAGGATATAAGAAAACTTTTTTAGATTATTGTGTATTTCTACAAAATTTTCTGACAATGATTTTATCATCCTTTTGTTGTATATGGATGATATGTTGATTGTGGGCAAGAATACTTCCAAGATTAACGAGTTGAAGAAAGAGGTGTGTAAGTTTTTTGCTATGAAAGACTTGGTCATGACAAACAAATTTTGGGTATGAGAATTACTCGTCTCATATATGAAAAAAAGATTTATTTGTCCCAGAGAAGTATATTGAACGTGTACTTGAGCGCTTCAATATGAAGAATGCTAAGCATGTTAGCACACCTCTTGTTGGTCATATGAAGTTGAGCAAGAAGATGTGTCCTAAATCTAGGGAGGAAAAAGAGAACATGTCCAAAGTTCCAAATTTCTACATCATCAAAAATCTAATGTATGCAATGGTATGCACTAGACCGGATGTTGCTCACGCAGTTGGTGTTGTTAGCAGATTTCTCGATAATCTCTAGGAAAAGAGCATTGGGAAGCTGTGAAGTGGATACTCATGTATCTTAGGGGAAGATCAGATGAATGCTTGTGTTTTGGATCATCAAATCCAATCTTGAAAGACTATACAGATTTTGATATGGAAGGTGACCTTGTAAACAAAAAATCCACTACTAGATATTTGTTTACTTTTTTAGGGGAGCTATATCATAGCAGTCAAAGTTGCAGAAGTGTGTTGCATTATCTACAACTGAAGCTGAGTATATTACGGCTACTGAAGCCGACAAGGAGATGATATGTCTAAAGCGATTTCTTCAAGAACTTATTTTGAATCAGACGGAGTATATTATCTATTGTGACATGCAATAGACTTGAGTAAGAACTTCATGTACCATGCAATAACAAAACACATCGACACCAGTTCGTGATTAAGTGGAGAGTGAATCATTTCACCTCAAAAAGATCCACACTAGTGAAATCCTGCATATATGCTAACCAAGACGATACCGAAAGACAAGTTCGAGTTATGCAAAGAACTTGTAGGTATGAGCTCTCTCTAAAGAAAATGAAGATACCTCCTTTCAGTGAATGGGACTGGAGGGGGATATCTGTAGAGTCCATCCCATAAATTTTTGCTCAACTTTTGCTATTCAATTGCTACAAGTAATTGGTAAAATGGAATAGTGAGAAGAGTTGAAAATAAATATTTGGTAGTTGGCAAATTAGTAAGATTTGCAAACTTTTTTTTGAATTTGCTAATTTACCTATGTCATTAGTGACATATGTATGATTTTCTCATTCTATAAATAGAGCATTCTTGCTCATTTGTAGAACACACCAAGTTACAGAAAAAACCCACTTTGATAGCAAAATGAGGTATTCCATAAACTATACAAGAAAAATAATATGTGAAGAAAAATAGATTTTGAGCAATATTTTAGTAAGGTGAAAACCAAAAGAGTATTGTTCCTTTTGAATGTGTAGTAGTCACTTTACTTATTTTATTCGTGACAACACAGTGTAAAATTTCTTACTATAGTGATATCAGTTGCTCCTCTTGGCCCGTAGTTTTTTCCTTATTTAAAAGGATTTTCACGTAAAATTCTCGGTGTCGTTATTTTTTCATTTTATTTCTATTACTTTTAACATATATATTTTTGTGTTTATCCGTGTTTTGCCAACAAGGAGAACATCCTTACTCTAACTTATCAAGAAAAAAAATATGGAATCCTTGTGATAGAAGGAATGAACAAATATGTGAATTTTGTCACCTATATTAATGATATCTTTTATAGCCTTGGTGAAGAAGAAAGTTATTTTGCCATGTTAAGCAAATCAATTGTAGTGTTACCTTATTTGAAGACGTAAGTAAAAAGAGAAATGACGAAGACCATTAATCTTCTGGATGAATGTTAAAGAATTGAAGCTAAGCCTGCCTAGGAACATTCAAAGTGAATTATTAAAGGTTTGAACGAAGAAGAGAACAGGCAAGAAATCATAAATTAAATTATTCACAACCTCAGATATTTGAAACAACGTCATGTTAGTTACCGCCCTAAAGAAAAGCCCTCCTAATTTCAGAATTAGTAAAGCTTAGGCCTATTTTTTAAAATACATTTTGAATATCCATTATTAACTATTATAGTACAAATATTTACATTGGGAAAAAATAAATGAGAGAAACAAATATCATAAATATTGTTATGTTAGAAAGTTTAGTGAATAATTACCTCCTCCATCGACACCAATGGCAGCAGGACATAATCCTGCCGCCACAACAGCAGCAGAACCACTAGAAGAACCGCCGGCAATCCTTCCAATATTGTAGGGATTTCTAGTAGTTCTATAAGAAGAATGAATATTCAAGAAGTATATAATTACATGATTTTTCACCTCTAACATAAATTAACTATAACACATATTTGTTCAAACTCTTCAAAAACATTGTGCGAGAGATAGTGATGTTCTTTGGCTTATAATTTATTTCCGATTAAAATAAACATAAAACACAAATTGTTCTTACCCATGATGAGGATTTATACCACTAGTTCCAGCACCAAGCTCATGCATGTTTGTTTTCCCCACCAATATGGCACCGCACAATCTCAAACGTTTCACACACTCCGCATCATCCTTGCATTGTCTTACCTTATGCATCCATTTTGTACCTCCTGCACGTCATTTGGATAATCATGATTCATAACAAATGAAAAACTTTAAATATATATAAATGAAATTCAAATGTAATATATTAATGCATGTACTACACAAAAACATTGATCTAGAGTTGATAAATAAGGAAGAAAGGTATACAATATTTAAGTGCGATTACAGATCTAGAGTTCAATAATCAAATTAACTTCCTATTTATATATTGTAATAATAGACTAACATCCTAACTAATTACTTATTAGACAAAATGGTCAAATGTCCCCGCAAGCTATTACCCAGTTTTCAGCTATACACTTAAATTTCACGAGCCACTTGAACTGTTTAAAATTGAAATATATAGCCCCCTAAAAGGTCACACCCACATTTGTGTTAGAAAGTGAATACACTTGTCTGCCACATCATATTAATTATCTTTTCAATTAAAAAATTATTATCTCTTTCTTTATTCTATTTTCTTTTATATTTTTTTTTCTTCTCTTTCCAGCCCATTTCTTTTTTTTCTTTTTCTTTTTCTTTTTACTTGGCATTTGTTTGATGAAACTTTTTTTTCATTGAAAAGAAAATTTCAAGTTTTATTTATGATAGTTTTAATCTTATAGTAATGAAATTCCAAGTTTTATAATTTAAAGATAAAATTACAAATTTTTTATAATCTTTCATTTTTGCCATTTGATTAATTTTTTTCCCAACATTTTCCTCTTCCTTGCAAACATCAAAAGCTTATCAATCAACCCAATTCACTTCTTCCTTCCTACAATAATATTATCAAGTCTTAAACCTTTGATATATCAAAAAAAAATCAAGTTTTGGAGGAGTTAATGATATGTTTCATGTTTTCATCATCGATGACCGCAACAATAATTTTGAAAGGTAAAATCTAGCGAGAATTTTATTCCTAACCGTTTCATCAACATTTTTATTGATACTCAAGTTATTTTCATGGATGAGTTTGTCAAATTTTTCAAATTGAGGTAATGGATACATAACAATGGATTTTTTCACTATTTTCAAAAATCTCAAATGCGTTCTTTGACAATCAAAAATTCTTTCCAAATTTGAATTTAAATTATTAAATTAGGACACCAAAAATCAACATAAGAATTTTCTAACTCATTTGATCATGTGTTTAGTCATGATGATTAATAATTTTAATCATATTAATAAAGAGTTGGTTTTTAGAATTTTCTAATTTCATGTACAAATTGAATAATCAAAATTCTAAAGTCAAGAGGGATAATGAAATTTCATGGTGAATCCAATAAATGTGATGGTCGCAGCGGCTAAAAGATGGTCAGTAGTGGAGAGATTTGGTTTATGTTGTTGTGAAAGAGAAATTGATTTTCATAATGAATGGAAATGTTATCTAAATTCTATACCAATTTATTTTAAACAAACCAACTAATTAAATTAATTTAGTGCTGGCAATTTAAGCCCACTTTTTATTGACCCGCTCAAATAGCCCATCAAATAGGGGTTGAAAGAGTGATTTTAAATATGGGTATTATTTGGGACTATACCCATATTTTACCCATTAAAAATATGGGTATATTATGGGTAAACTACGGGTCAAATATGGGTATTGCAAATTTTCTCCAAATTTTCAAAAAACCTTCTGTTACCAAGTTTTTTTAAAAACAATTTTTCAAAACTTTCATATATGGATCCCTATTAATATTTCAACTTTCGACCTCCAACCCACTTTCCAAAAAAAAATTAAAGTTTATTTTTTAAAAATATTTTGAACTTCAAAAGTTCATTTTAAACAAAAGTATTTTTCAACTTCAAATATTTATTTTTCACCCTACCCTGGACCCATCCACCCAGTCATCGTCCCCTCACACCCACCCCCTACCCCCAACCAACCCCCACCCTTCAAAAATATTAAGTTTGTTTTAAAAATATTTTTAACTTTAAATTTCTTCACCCTACACAAGAACCCCCCCCCCCCCCCAAAAAAAAAAATTAAGTTTGTTTTAAAAAAGTTTTTTCAACTTTAAATATTTATTTTTTCACCCTATCCTGGACCCACCACACCCCAATCATCGTCCCCCCACCCCCGACCCTTCAAAAATATTAAGTTTGTTTTAAAAATATTTTTAACTCTTAATTTTTTCACCCTACCCTAGACCCCCTCCCCCCTGGTAGCCCCCTATCAGCCCCCCCCCCCCAAAAACCCCAAAAGTTTTTAGTAGTTTTTTATTTTTATAATAAAATAAATTAAATGAAGTATTTTCAACATATTTCATCTAAAAAAAAGAATAAAATATTTTCTCCACTTTGAATTCTTAAGCAAATAATTATTTATTCATGAAATATGGGAAAACTAGTATTTTACCCAACCCATTTTCACCCATATCAAATATGGGCGGGTTGAATGATTACCCATTTTATGTTTATCCATTTTCAACCCGCCCATTTGCCGCCACTAGACTAATTCAACAAAATGGAGGCCAAATTTCTACTCTGCTTCTGCTAAGCTTATGGAATTGACATGTTGTTTCTTAGATTTGCATGACATTAGATAATCACAAAAGTTAACCAAGTTTCCTGCAATGGATCTTCTTGTACTTGAAAAAGCAGCCCAATCAACATCACAGAAAAGTTAAAGTACGATAGAATACTAGATGATATCAAAAAATTTGTACCTAGGGCCTACTTCAACTTATCTCACAACTCCAAGAGACTTCCAAGTGTAATGATACTCTAGGTATTTTCTCCTTTCTGCATTCTTTTCAGCGTTTAAAGTGTTCTTAAACAGATCCTAAGCCATCTATGACTCACGGAACTGATAGTTCGGTCAATTGGTCATTCGTTTTGCTTTTGAGCAAGATTCGTACTTTAGAGTTTTTGAAACTTGAACAGTTGACTTTAGTCAAAAAGATTGGGAAGAAGGGCTCATAATGAAATTGTAGCAGTTTTCGTTAGCTTTGGAACACTGAGTTTAGTCTAAAAGGACCTTTGTTGCGAATCCTAAGGCTTTCAGACTCATTATGAGTCCCCTTGTAGAATTTGAGTTAAAATGGAGTTTAGATATGGGATCCACTTCTCATCGAAAAGGTTTCATTTATTTTATTCAGAGTTTTGGATTTTCAATTTTTTTTTAACTCAATTATTTTATTCGGGGTTTTCTACATCTATAAATAATCCATAAGATTAATTATTGAGAAAGAAGGATACAATGATAAAAAAAACATTTGATTTAGGTTTTTTTATTTTCTTCTTTTTTATTTATTTTACATCTTTTCTTTGAATGATTGGTTGTAATTTCTCTATGTCTATGTGAAATTGAACTTCTCTTTCTTGAATTATATTTACTTAAAATATGATTGTTTAGTGATTTTAATTTTGCATGATTTGTTTATCATATTAGTTATTCTTATATTCTTGTGATTACTATTTTGATGTTTGATCACCATTAGAATAAATTTATTATCTTCTTCTGAACTTATAGAGGGATGGAACGTGGAATATAAGGAGCATGATCTTTTCTTGCATATCAGTTGAATTGATTTCTGTCTAGGACAGGGATATACCTAGGTGTCTTGATTGTTTAAAATACGGAAAGACAATGTAATGCTCATAGTTGGTTCAGTTTATCCGCGGTCAACGATGTAGTTAGACTGTCAAATGTGGTAGACGGTTAGAGCTGGTCGGGAGATCATGACGGCTAGGTAATCAAACCCGTGAATCAATAATTAGATAATCAAATAAGTTGATGAAATTGATGTTAGTAAATCATATTCAATGAAAAAGGTGCATTAAAGCAAGCAAGCTAGTTATTGGGAAAAATAAAGGCTTGAGTTGTAGTGATCATACGTTAAGATTTGCACCACGATTACATATTATGGATAACATCAAACATGGACCCGTACTGTTTGTAAGTTAATCGACGAAGTTAATAATGGGCATGTATGTATGTATTATTGGGTGAACCAAAATATATGGAGAGCCTTGTTGTGTAGGTAGAGTTATTTTGGTTGATAGATATTGCTTGAAAAATGTGAGTTTGAGAGCCTTGATATTGAACTTGAAATTGAAGTGTGTGAATGTTGGGCTATATACTACTCCATTTGAATTGAAACTATATATCCTTGATAAATAATGATGTTCTTAATAACAGATAGTATTAAATAAATAGTATAAAATAATATTAGTATTTACTGTGTACTAATCCTAGTCCTATTACGATTAGTACTCCTTAATCCTAGTCCTATTAGGATTAGTACTCCTTCCTATATCTCCTATATATATCTCCCATGTATTCCCTTAACACTTGAATACAATCAATATTCCTTCATGTTATCAAGATCCAGAAAACCTAGATCTTCTTTTCTCTAGGTTTTTTTTCTCTCTTTAGGGCACCGATCGTTCCCTCTCTTCTCTTGGGCGGCGGCAGCCATGACAACCGAGGCGGATCCTCTCGATTCACTTCCTTCTGGCGTTAAACTCCTTCTCTGGCATCTTCATGCCCTGATTCCCGAAAAATTATCAGACATAAATTACCCTACATGGAAAATCACCGTTCTTACAGCCCTTGAGGCCAATTACCTTCTCAAATACGTCGATGGAAGCACAGAACCACCGCCGTCAATCATCACCCCACGGACAAATCAGAAAAACCAATCCGGCCCATGCCGCCTGGAAAGCCGTGGATGGCCAGATCCGATCATGTTTGATTGCGGTCATCTCTCCCACGGTTCAGAAACACGTCCGATCCTACACAACTGCTTCAACCCTATGGACGGCCCTCGCAACACGCTATGCATCAATTTTCCACTCTCATATTTTTCAATTGCGTGATCGTCTCCACACAATTACCAAAGGCACGAAAACTATGGCGGTGTATTTAGATGAGGTCTCCACCATCATCACAGCCCTCGACACCGTGAACGAAATCATTCCCGAAAAAGATCTCGTCATGTGCATCGTTCGAGGGCTCCCATCAGCTTACTCCTCCATTAAACAGGCGGTTCAAATCAGTCCAACGCCCGTTGACCTG